GCTTCTCGTTTAGTTGGCAAGCGTTGTTTTTCTTTTACGTCGGCAGGCATCTTCATATTGTTAGTATTGAATCCAATATGATCGCTTTGTACATGCCAGAGCAGCCCTAGCGTCTTCTCAGTTTCTTTTCCGCCCAGGCACACGGTCGCGTCGTGTTGTCTATGCTCGGTCGTTATTTCTTCTATTGTTTTTTCTTCGTTCGATGTCCACCCGCTGAGTACGAATCCCGCTTGTTTGTGGACGTGATCGACTGCTTTTACTGTTTGCTGAGCTTCCGTGACAGAGTGGAAGCTCTGCAAGTAGTCGTCCATATAATGGTTTCTTTTTATGGCGACCGCAGCTTCTGGGTACGCTTCTGCATGTTCTTCAGCATTTTTATTTTTGATGTATAATGCTGTGCATGGTGATGATGTCGCTCCAAAGATGATTGACGTCATCCTATATTCCTCCGGTTGGTCCTCCCGCCGCTTGCCTCTCCACAAGAAACGTAAAACGTCTCTATCTTCTTTGCGCACTTTAATCTGCATGAACATTTCTTTTATATCGGCGCTCACTGCATACGGATACTGTCGGAACCTCATGATCACTCCGGGCAGTGATTGTAATAAGTCGGGCCCCGAGTGAAGCATATCGTTGAGACATATTCCGGCTGTCTTCGCTGCGGCGTCGTGTACCAATCTCGGCGGCTTGTTCGGTTTCGCAGGGTTGATGACTGGGAAGTGTGGCAGATACCATGTCCTTCCTTGCGGCGGTGGCATTGGCGCGCGCTCTGCGTAACCCGAGTTGAAGAGGTTCTCGATGCGTTCTTCGTACTGTAGCTTGAGATTGCTGTCTCGGTCGAGCCTCTTCTCTAAGGTGTGCAGGCGCCTTTCCGCTTCCTTATAATTATTTGGTATTTGGAAGTCCTTTTGTTTCCACAACAACCCTGTCTCGAATCTGCCGTCCGCTGACCTCTGGCTGGTTTCGTCCAATATTTGCATGGCTCGCTGCTCGGGATCTTCTTTCGGTCTTCTCGGCTCGATGCACAGCGACTCCAATTTGAAATAATTTTTTATTTCTTCTTCTATCGGTGGTGCATCTTCCCTCTGATGTAGTCTGCCGCAGAAGGTGACCGTCGACGTCAATGAGCTATGACAGCCATGCAGAACCCAGCCCAGGTTGGTGTATGAGGCGACTGGTTGGTCTCGACGGCCGACGCGCAGTTTTCTAGACACTATGAGGTGCCAGTTATCTTGCCCGATTAGTACTTTCGGTGAGGCGCGTTCGTAGGTGATATCCTCTTTGATATCCAACAGATGTGGGCAATTCCCCAAGTGATCTTCATTCACGGATTCTGGCGCGAAGTCCAACCGCTCTACAGTACGCGCTGCTTCTATGTTGTGTTCTTCTTGCGCGTACGTTCCTCTTATTTTAAAGCTGACGATCTTGCTCTTCTCGTGTTTCACCTCCGAGCCGACCCCTTGTATCCACATTGTGTGGGCTGGGCCGTCGGCGCCGATGACGTCGGCGATTGAGGCATCGACTAAGGTGACCGTGCTCCCTTCATCCAATAATGCGTATGTTTCGACGCAGCTTAGCGGCCCCCTTATTGTTACGGGCGCAATCTTTAGGTAAGCGCGGCGGTGCTTGTACGGTCGAGTCGCTGTGTTGACCTCCTTTGCCGATGTTGCGGTTTCCATAGCGGGTTCTTTTTCCATTACTGCTGTTCTGTCGTGATGCAACAATTTATGGTGTTTCATCATGCATCCGCCTTTTCCGCACGGTGGAGCTTTGCACAGTAATCGACGATGTTTGCCTCGCAGACAGCGGTAGCAGATATTGTACTTCTTTGCTACTTCCCATCTGTCATTTGTGGACAGAGCGGCGTATGACTTGCAATCGGGCAGTTTGTGTTCTTGTTTGCATTGAGGGCAGCGTTCTTCATATGGTTTCTTGCTTGTGGCGAAGGCACGTTCTATTTTTCTCGGTCTTCGCTCTCTCGTTTCGCTGTCCTCTGCGATGAACTCCGGCAAGGCATACGCGCTGCATTTATCCGCTTCTTCGTTTAAGAACATTGATATCTTCTTAAGCTCTGGGATATCTTCTTTCTTTCTGGCTGCATAGTCGTACCATTTGCTTTTCAATATGGGCGTGAGTTTGTCTGTGATAACTCGCGTCATTTCTGGACTATGCAGATAGTGTGCTTTCTTGAGTGCTTCCACGGTGCCCACTACGTTCGCTATGCGATTTGCGAATATGCATAGCTCCCTGGGATTGTCCGTAACTTTGTTCAGCAGCTTCAGCTTCTCTATTTCCAAGTGAATTAACGCTTCTGGTCGTCCGAATCTCCTTTCCAAAGCTTCTATTATAATTCTGGGATCTGGTTGGCTTATAAGTAGGCAACCTGCGGCTTCTTTTGCTGTCCCTTTTAAGCTTCGGCGTATTCTCGCTATGTTTTCGTTCGCCGTGAAGTACTTTGAAGATTCTTCGTACATTGTCTTGAAGCTGAGCCACTCCTTGCTGCTACCATTGAATGAGGGCAGCTCTTGTATATATTTCGGCGGCTCCCTTGTGCTTCGTACTGCTTGTGATAGAGCAGCGGCTAAGGTAGCGACGTCGATTTGCTGCTGCGCCTGTCCATAGTCTTCTTTCTGCGGCGCGGTATGTTGCGGAGCGTATTGCGGCGCACACTGTTGAAGTACGGGTGGTGCGATCTGCAGTGCTGGTTGCGGCGTGAAGTACGACGTGGGTTGCGGCGCAGGCTGCGGCGCGGGTTGTGGCGCGGGCTGAGGCGCGGGTTGCGATGTAGGTTTTTCTTGCAACCATGTACTAATGCGCACTGATGCCAAATCGTCTTCTATTTCTTCATCTTCATCGGTTGATCCGGCTTCTGCTTGTAGTCGCTGCACGCGTATTTCTTGCAATTCTGTTCTTGCTTGCAACTGAGCCTGCTCGAGCTTGAGTTCGGCTAACCGCTCTTTCGCCTCTAACTCCGCGAGGAGTCTCTTGCGTGAGGCTACGGAGCGGCGTGACCTAGTCTCGCCGGGCTTCAATGTGCACTGCGATCTTTGATCACCCTCTTGCTGGGTTTCTTCCGTTGCGGTTGTTCTATCGGTTGCAGAGGTAGCGGTCGTATCGCTGACCGTTGTGGTTTCGCTAGTGGTGTTTGTTGAACCACTAGCGGCTGAGTCGCCCCCGGAGGCCTCTTCTGTGGCCCCCTGGGTTGTTTGTTCATCCTTGCGACGCTTCGATGATTCTCCGTTGTTACTACGCGTAATCACCATTTTTCTTCACAATAATATTTTTTCGTTCTTGCGGTTTGCTTCTTTCTTCCGGCAATACCAAGACCGATATTGTCTTTTTCTTCTAGTAATCCGGCTTCTCGAAGGACCATTAATATTACGGATCGCCGTAATGCCGTGCGAAAAATGGAATAAAACGCGCTGGTCTTGCTTTTAACTGGAGGCAAGCGGCGGTGAGGAGGAACTTGTACTTCTTCTTTTCTTGCTGGTGCCTTTTCGGTGGCTGGAGAGCGACTGCTGACCCTAGCGGCCGGCCCGTCTTTTATATGATTTGGCCGCTGCTGGCCAGCGGACCCTTGCCTCACCCCCGCGCCTATCTTTATTTATTTAATAACCTTACAAACTAATAAACATAATTCACTATATAATATTCTTATAACTACTTGTTAGACTAGGGTGTACATATCAATATTTTTACTTATTTACAGGTTTACATTATAATTTTCAGCTGCTTTAGGCGGAGAATCCTTCCCCCCGCCTCAGCACTATAAATATAAAACGTCGTGGCGCGGTGCGCGTGGCTTCATTTGCTCCGCGGCCGCGTCACGATAACATGCTCTTTGGTTACACTACTACTATTATTTTATGTGCCTAACGGCCTAATATATTTATTATATAATAAAGTAAACATTTATTATATTTAACAATTACAGTTTTCATTTGAAGACTATGCTAACTCTCCCTGTTCATACGGTGCCTTTATTTGGGAGAGTTATTGCACAGTTACAACTCAACCTTAAACTTAGTTATAATACAATCATTATTTTTTATCGTTCGATACAAGTAATACAATTATTTACACAAATTATAATTTAAATTCAACATAAGGTTGCGCTAGTTCCGCCGTATAACCCTTGCTAGTTGTCGAACCAGAGGCGTGGCCTGATAATTACACCGTCGTCATGGCTCCGCCCACCGCTCCTAGGTTGTTCAACTAGCGCCGGTTACAATAAGCATTTTCTTTCGTTTGTTTAATATTGTTGCGTCGTGCACAGGTATGCTGTTTCTATTTACTAATAATTCAAATATTATTGCATTATGACCGGAGGATGGGCAGACTTCTACTTCAACTTTCCAGTTAGTGATTCTATTCGATGACAGATTGGAGGTTAGAGTAAGGTCGATAATGGATTCGCGGTGGATATTATGAGTAACAGTTTCAAAAGTTGGTACGTTGCCGGAATTACAAAGGTTAAGATCATTAGTAGTTAAAAAGTCTGCTATAGTATTTCCTCGCCGATTAGCCCTGGGAGAGTTCCATAACGGGTGCCAGCCATTGAAATCACCACAGATGATATGACTGTAATTTTTTGTTTTTGTAGAAAAAGCTCTAATGTATTAATTGTGTTAACTTCGTCGGTCTTAGGTTCAACATATACACTGATAAGGAATATTTTTTTGTCATTTATAGTCATTTGTACTACACAAAGGTTAGAAGTGGAGTGTTCTGAGATGCCCAATGAACAGCCAATATTTTGTTTGATGAGTATACATGCTTTGACGTGATGTTTAGTTGGAAATTGGTGAATATGGTAGCCGGGCCAATGTCTCATGTTGGTGCCACTTCCAACATAAGGCTCGTTAACAAACACTATGTCATACTCATTATCCGTTACATACTTTAACATTTCATTAGTTGCTGCGTATCCTCTATCTAGATTTATTTGTAGACATTTAAGCGGGCTGCAATTGTGTGTTCCAGTTTTCCTATTTTTTCTTTTAGTATCCATAGTCGGTTTTATTTTTGCAGGTTTCAATCTGTTTATGGACACGAGGGCAGTATAGTGACGTAGCGCTATGATTGGTATTTAAATTTAAGTTGTATTTTTTAGCGTGTAATGTACAGTTGTAGCAGTTTATTTTATTTAGATCTTTTTTTACCGGGCAGTCTTTGTATGTGTGTGAATTGGAGGAGCAGTGGGAACAGTTTGTTTCCTCTTCAGTGCAGTGCTTTTTGGTGTGTCCAGATTGCATGCATTTATAACACTGAAGAAATGCTGGAAAATCTTCTGCGTGTACACGTTGGTGGTCTATATCAACTTTTTGTATTTCTATGATTACTCTCCAGATATGGGGAGCAACCATAAATACAGCGTTATAGAGTTTCTGGTTTTTGTTGTTGCGCATAAACTTATATGTTATGTCTTCGGGTGATGTAATAATATCTTTGATTTTAGTGTTTTGATTGATGATAATATCAACAAGCTCAGTTACGGGTGTATCTTTGAAAATGCCCTTAAGTATGACCATAGGCTTGAGTTTTTTCGCTATTTCCGCGCAAACCAGGCTGTCTGGCCGATTTATTGTTTCTAAAATCTCGTCTCTTTGCTCCTGTTTGTCGAATTCTACTCGAAGTTTATGGTTAGAGACTCCTTTTACGTCAGCGGGAGTGAATGTAAGCTTTTTGAAATGAACGCTTTTTCTCCACGCGTGGACCGTCTCCTGTGATGAAGACACTGGTTGTTTAGAGGTTACTATTAAAGCTGGTTTTGTTATCGGAATAGAGGGTTTCTCAGTTGCCTTTATAGTCTTAACAACAGTGGCGTAACTTTGAATTGGCGCCGGGGTGATATCTGGACGAAGTGGTTCTAGCAGTGGTGGAGCGGCGAATTGCTGAGGCTTTAACGCAATCTTTTCGAACTCTTCCTTGATCGTATTTCTGATTATAGAAGCGGTTTTCTTTTCAGTCGATAACGTTGAATGTCGCAAAATATTTTTAACTTGGTTATGTAACTGCTGTGTGCTGCGCTTAATTTCTTCCAGAGACTTTTTAATACTTTCCTTGTTTAAGCGTGTGACACTTCTACTACTGTCTAGAGTTTTTTGTATTAAATCAGTGTGTTCAATAACTTTTAAAAGGTATTCGTCATTGAAGTTAGAACTGGATTCAGATTGAGCTTCCTCGAATACCTCGTCAGTAATATTTGCTAGATCTTCAGTTATTACAACCTCTTGACTTAGATTTTGACTAGTAACGGCTTCAGTACACGAATTGCTGAGAACTGACATTTGTGATATATGAATCCACTTAAGTAATGAAAACCGGGAGGGTGGGAGGGCGATTTTCTTTAATTCCGTGTGTTATTATTTACAGATTAGAGTGCAGATGGCAGTTTCTACACATTTACAGATTAGAGTGCAGATGGCAGTTTCTACACAAGACGGACCTAATAGGTGCAAAAAGAGCGAAAGAAATGAAGATTTGTAAAATTTTTAAAATTTTATGAAAATACGACTCTAAGAACACGAATTTTATGAAAAAAAAAATTTGTTATGAAACTGTGAAAATTTACTAAAAAAAACTATAGAAAACTACGGAGGGTAATTAGATACACTATTTAAAAAGAAAATTTGAACGTAAAAGAGCAACTTTCAGTAAAGTTATAGATGAATTTATGTTTTATTTATGAATTTAATACTATAAAAGAAGGGAAAAAAAAAAAAAAACAAATGTGAAAATTTATTATATAACGGTGAAAAATTACTAAGAAAACTAAAGGGAAATATGGGGGGCAGTTAATTACACTATTTAAAGAAAATTTCAACGAAAAAGACCAATATTTAGCAAAGTTATTAGAAAAGTTGTAATTTAATTTATATATTTTTAACGATCGACCACTACACCTCGGTTTAGGTAAGTAGCGATTTTCTTTAATTCCGTGTGTTATTATTTACAGATTAGAGTGCAGATGGCAGTTTCTACACAAGACGGACCTAATAAGTGCAAAAAGAGCGAAAGAAATGAAGATTTGTAAAATTTTTAAAATTTTATGAAAATACGACTCTAAGAACACGCTGAACACCTCGCTACCCCGTGCAGGAGACGAGGCCCAGACAGATCGGGCCAGCACTAGTGTGGGGCTGCGGAAGAATTTGGATTCCCGCGGCCCCGCACGCACGTGCGAGGAGGAACCGTGGGGTTTTAGCCGGTAGGAGTCCGGCATAACCTTCCGGTTGCCCCCGCGGCCGTAGGTATCCATGAGGATTTCCCCACGTAAAAAAAAAAAAAAGGTTAGGTTAGGTTAGGTTAGGTTAGGTTAGGTTAGGTTCCCCCCCGAACGGGTTCCCGCCTTGTCGTGGCGGGGGGGCTTAGTAGCCGTGGCTTGGTCAACCACGGTGAACGAAGAGGAACCCCTTGGCTGGCCCGAGGTGTAGGGCCGGCCCGAGGTGGCCACTCCGAGTGGGCTTGGGAAGCCCACTTCGGATGTGTGTCGGGGGGCTGTGGTGAGAGGGGAGTCCGCAACCCTCTACCGCTGCAGCCGAGGTGGAGTCGCGGAGGAGGAGGCGTGCTGGTATGGCGATGCGCCACTCGCCCTATCCTCCGCGACTCAGACGGGGCCGCACCGTTGAATGATGCGGTGGTGGTGGGGCTGCGGGGGGAGAGGAGTGTCGGTATTGCGAGGCGCCGCTCTCCCTACCCTCCGCAGCCGAATCTTGGTTGGCGGCGGAGCCATAGACCAGATCCGCCGCTGGGGTCGGGAAGGCTGGTGCTTCTTAGTGCTAGTTTTTCCTGGCCCCATGGCCTTCGCGCATCGGACACGGGGGCGTCTGTTGCGCATATGAAATTGGAGGCCGAGGAGGAGGGCGCGCCATGTGTTCTGGCGCGCCTTACTGGAGAAGGAGATGGGGGAGGAGTGGTCCTCTCCCGAGGAGGGGCCGCCATGGGGTGGCCGGCGCAGGTGGGGCCGCGGAAGTGTGCGAAAGCGTTCCCGTGGCCCTGCCAATATGCGACGAGGGTGGAACACCATGGGGTTTTAGTCGGTGCGAGTCCGACATAACCCGTCCTTGCCCCCGCGAGGCGGGTATGCGTAGGCATTTCCCCATGTAAAAAAAAAAAAAAAAAAAAAAAGGTTAGGTTAGGTTAGGTTAGGTTAGGTTCCCCCCCGAACCCCCCCGAACGGGTTCCCGCCTTGTCGTGGCGGGGGGGCTTAGTAGCCGTGGCTTGGTCAACCACGGTGAACAAAGAGGAACCCCTTGGCTGGCCCGAGGTGTAGGGCCGGCCCGAGGTGGCCACTCCGAGTGGGCTTGGGAAGCCCACTTCGGATGTGTGTCGGTGGGCTGCGGTGAGAGGGGAGTCCGCACCCTCTACCGCTGCAGCCGAGGTGGAGTCGCGGAGGAAGAGGAGTGTTGGTATGGCGATGCGCCACTCGCCCTATCCTCCGCGACTCAGACGGGGCCGCACCGTTAATTGATGCGGTGGTGGTGGGGCTGCGGGGGGAGAGGAGTGCCGGTATTGCGAGGCGCCGCTCTCCCTACCCTCCGCAGCCGAATCTTGGTTGGCGGCGGAGCCATAGACCAGATCCGCCGCTGGGGTCAGGAAGGCTGGTGCTACTGAGTGCTAGTTTTTCCTGGCCCCATGGCCTTCGCGCATCGGACACGGGGGCGTCCGTTGCGCATGTTAGGTTGGAGGCCGAGGAGGAGGGCGCACCATGTGTTCTGGTGCGCCTTACCTGAGAGGGAGATGGGGGAGGAGTGGTCCTCTCCCGAGGAGGGGCCGCCATGGGGTGGCCAGCGCAGGTGGGGTCGCGGAAGTGTGCGAAAGCGTTCCCGTGGCCCTGCCAATATGCGACGAGGGTGGAACACCATGGGGTTTTAGTCGGTGCGAGTCCGACATAACCCGTCCTTGCCCCCGCGAGGCGGGTATGCGTAGGCATTTCCCCATGTAAAAAAAAAAAAAAAAAGGTTCCCCCCCGAACGGGTTCCCGCCTTGTCGTGGCGGGGGGGCTTAGTAGCCGTGGTTTGGTCACCCACGGTGAACAAAGAGGAACCCCTTGGCTGGCCCGTGGTGTAGGGCCGGCCCGAGGTGGCCACTCCGAGTGGGCTTGGGAAGCCCACTTCGGATGTGTGTCGGTGGGATGCTGCGAGAGGGGTGTCCGCTCCCTCTATCGCTGCAGCCGAGGTGGAGTCGCGGAGGAGGAGGCGTGCTGGTATGGCGATGCGCCACTCGCCCTATCCTCCGCGACTCAGACGGGGCCGCACCGTTGAGTGATGCGGTGGTGGTGGGGCTGCGGGGGGAGAGGAGTGTCGGTATTGCGAGGCGCCGCTCTCCCTACCCTCCGCAGCCGAATCTCGGTTGGCGGCGGAGCCATAGACCAGATCCGCCGCTGGGGTCAGGAAGGCTGGTGCTTCTGAGTGCTAGTTTTTCCTGGCCCCATGGCCTTCGCGCAACGGACACGGGGGCGTCCGTTGCGTATGTTAAGCTGGAGGCCGAGGAGGAGGGCGCGCCATGTGTTCTGGTGCGCCTTACCTGAGAAGGAGTTGGAGGACGAGTAGTCCTCTCCTGAGGAGAGGCCGCCATGGGGCGGCCAGCGCAGGTGGGGCCGCGGATGTGTGCGAAAGCGTTCCCGTGGCCCTGCCAATATGCGACGAGTGTGAAACACCATGGGGTTTTAGTCGGTGCGAGTCCGACATAACCCGTCCTTGCCCCCGCGAGGCGGGTATGCGTAGGCATTTCCCCATGTAAAAAAAAAATAAAAAATAAAAAAAGGTTAGGTTAGGTTCCCCCCCGAACGGGTTCCCGCCTTGTCGTGGCGGGGGGGCTTAGTAGCCGTGGCTTGGTCACCCACGGTGAACAAAGAGGAACCCCTTGGCTGGCCCGTGGTGTAGGGCCGGCCCGAGGTGGCCGCTCCGAGTGGGCTTGGGAAGCCCACTTCGGATGTGTGTCGGTGGACTGCGGCGGGAGGGGTGTCCGCTCCCTCTACCGCTGCAGCCGAGGTGGAGTCGCGGAGGAAGAGGTGTGTTGGTATGACGATGCGCCACTCGCCCTATCCTCCGCGACTCAAACGGGGCCGCACCGTTGATGCGGTGGTGGTGGGGCCGCGGGGGGAGAGGAGTGTCGGTATTTCGAGGCGCCGTTCTCCCTACCCTCCGCGGCCGAAACTTGGTTGGCGGCGGAGCCCGAGAACAGATCCGCCGCTGGGGTCGGGAAAGCGGGCGCTATTAAGCGCTCGATTTTCCGGGCCCCATGGCCTCCGCGTATCGGACTCGGGGGGGTCCGATACGCAGGTGTAGTTGGAGGCTGTGGAGGGGGGTAGCTGAACACCTCGCTACCCCGTGCAGGAGACGAGGCCCGGACAGACCGGGCCAGCACTAGTGTGGGGCTGCGGAAGAATTTGGATTCCCGCGGCCCCGCGCGCACGTGCGAGGAGGCACCGTGGGGTTTTAGCCGGTAGGAGTCCGGCATAACCTTCCGGTTGCCCCCGCAGCCGGAGGTATCCATGAGGATTTCCCCACGAAAAAAAAAAAAAAAAAAAAGGTTAGGTTAGGTTAGGTTAGGTTTTTTTTTTTTTATACTGATTCCCCTGACATGTGGAATCAAGGACGTTATCTTTCTTTTTTGTTATATTTTTGCTATTATTTTTTGTTATGTCCTTGTTATTTTTTGTATTATTTTTTATTCTTTTTTATTCATTTTTACTGGTTTCTTTATTTCTTTTTTAGGTTTTTTCATTTTTCTTTTCTTATTAATTCTAAGTACATTATTTCTTAATTACTTAACTTACTATATCTTATTTCTACTTAATGTGGGCTGATTACATTATATATTACATATATATTATGTACAGATTCCCTTATTTCTACTCTTATTTATTCTGATTTACAACTTTATTTGCTATATTCTTACAGTAACTTAAAAACCTATTTCTAACATATTTATTACTTATAATTTTATATACATTTTCCTTATCTATCTTAATTCCTATCTCTATTTCTATATCTGTTCGCTCTTTACAGTATATAGGGCACTCCGTTATGAGGTGGATAATAGATTCCTCCTTCTCTGGATCGCAGGTACATGACGTGCTCTCCTTGCATTTGAACCTATATAGGTATTCAGAGAACCCGCCATGTCCTGTCATCACTTGTACGATAATTGGATCCATTTCTATTTTTCGTACAATAGGGTATGCACTCACGGCATCCGGGAAAAACACCTTTGTGGTGGAAGCCGTTTCTCCTTCCATATATCGTCGATTCCATTCGTCAAGCGATTCCAGGCGAATCTGTCGCTTGACGAACGAAACCGGACACTTTTCGTAGTGCGGCCTACATTTAATTTTTATTGCGGCTTCTTTGGCTAATAGATCTGCCCTCTCGTTCCCCTCCAATCCTGCGTGTGCTTTAACCCAATAAAGGTTAAGGGATTTCCCTTGTTTACATAATTTGGTGATATTCTCTCTTGTTTCTACCGCTATAGGATGGAGGGAAACGTTTTGGACGACTGTCTGGAGGGCAGATCTAGAGTCGCTATATATATTACAGCTCTCTGCCGGGTCTTTGAGAGCGTGCCTACTTGCTTCCAATATGGCCAGCAACTCAGCCTGGAAGACGGTGCAGAAATTTCCCAACTTTAATTTTCGGTGACTAGTCTCCACTGCGTTATTCCATATGGATAACGCAGCGCCGACCTTACCGTCAATCCTACTGCCGTCGGTGTAAATTTTGAGGCCTTTGTTGTCTTGTTGGTCGATTTGTGCACCGTCCTCCAGACATGTGAATTGGAGGCCATGCTGATCCGCGGGGTGTGGCGTCCTACCAAACTCTACTTTTTTCTCCATTTCTCTGTCCCCCACCACTCGCCGGGAGTAACCTTTCTTTACTTCATAAAGCAAGGCTGCTTCCCGGACCCTCAGGTCCAAGGGAAGCAGCCCGGCGAGTAGTAGGGCCGAGTGCAGAGATACAGTTTTATATGATTTGATTATTTTCTGTACGAACCCGCGTTGTACCGCATCGAACTGTTTTTTGATAAGCTTTTTATTTGTCGCCGGCGACCACGCGCTTGCCGCATACATAATGATTGGCTCCACTACTGCGATGTAGATGGTCCTAATAATCTCGGAGTTTAGGCCCCAATGAACCTTTGCGGCTCTACACAGCTGACGATATACATTTTGAGCCTTGCAGCACACATTCTTCACGTGCGTGTTGAAGGTCAGCTTGTCATCGACTGTGAGGCCGAGTATTTTTATTTCTTTTGATATAGCAATGCTTTCCCCACCCATATTCAAAAGTGGCGAGTCAAATTTGATCTTCTTTGTAATAACCATTGCTTTGGTTTTCTGAGGTGCAAATGTTAGTTTGTTTTTGACTCCCCACCTCCGAATATGTGCGAGGGCTGCATTGACTTTCTCCTGCACTTCCAAACCCTTGTCTCCGGAGAATATCAGGACCACGTCGTCTGCGAAAGCCTGGCAGTACTCCCCTCTATCCGTTAGCTGTTTCAGGAGTGGATCCAACAGAAGATTCCAGAAAAGTGGACCGCCTATCGAGCCCTGCACGCACCCCTTCGTGGTCGTTTTGCCCCATTCCGCCCCTGAATATTTAATGCTTACAGATCTATCGTTCAGGTAGCTGTCCACTAATCGTCTGATGTTTATGGGGCATCCGGATCTTGTAAGTGCACATCGTACAGCTGGCCACCAGGCGTTATCGAAGGCTCCCTCTATGTCAAGTGATACTAATACAATCAATTTTTTATCATTGATGTTAGCTTTTATAAGCTGTATCATGTCATAGAGGGAGTCCTCGGTGCTGCGCTGTGGCATAAAACCATATTGCTTTTTGCTTAATTTGGGTACGATGTGCCACTTGATTCTCCGCACCATCATTTTCTCTAGGACTTTCCCTAGAACAGGCAGTAGCCCAATCGGCCTGTAGGACTTGGGGTGCGTGTAGTCCTCTTTACCAGGCTTTCGCAACACTACTACTTTCGCCTCCTTCCATTTGTTAGGGAAATGAGCCAGCTCCAGACACTTATTGGCTAGTGCCAAAAACAGTGGCGGGTCCAGGGCAATGGCCGCTGCGCAGATATCGGCTGTGAGACCATCATTCCCTGGAGCTTTTTTGGGATTAAAGCTGGACGCGGCCCACATAAGCTCCTCTACCGTAAAAGGTGGGTCACTTGAGTCATCAAGTGACCCTACGTTCACTGATTCAGCTTCCTTTCTGATAAGCCTGTGTTCCGCGTCATCCTCCTGGGTGTTGTCGTCCGGGTAGAAGGTCTCCGCCAAGAATCTTGCTGATTCTGCGTTGTCCAGAGTCTTCCCCTCTCTTACAAGAGGGATATCTTCGTGTCTCTGAGTTGTGCGGCCTATTACCCTGTAAATCCCGTCCCACATAGATTCGCGATCTTGTTTGCTGCAGAAATCCTTCCAGCTGGCGGTCTGTGCGTTCTTTACTTGTTGTTGGTATTCCTCTTTTGTTTTGATATACTGCTCGACGACCCATTCTCGGCGTACTGGTGCTGCGCACGATATTCTGCGTTTCATCCTGGAGACTTCCTTTTTCTTCTGAGTCAGCTCTTCGGTCCACCAAGGCAATCCCATTCGTTTGGTGTTTTTAATTTTGGGCATACTACTTTCGCAAACTTCCACTATTGATTCTACATATTCTACTATTGTCATTTCAAGTTTTTCGCTATTTTCTATTTTATTTATTTGTATATTATTTATTTGTTTTCTTTGCCAAACCTGGGTGAGTTTCTCACGAAACTCACTTCATTTTGTCTTTTTTGTATTAAATTTTCTGGTGGTTCTTTTTATGTCTATACTTATCGATTTTTCTAAATTTATCTCGAATAGGATTGCCCTGTGGTCCGAACTGGTTACTTCTTCTGAAAGTCTCCAGTTTTCTATCCTCCCGAGCAGGCTCGTCGAGCAGGTTGTCACATCCACACAGCTGGAGAATCTCTTACCGCCCCTGATCGAGTCGAACGTGGGCTCTGTACCTCTGTTTAGTATGTGGAGCTCTAGTTGATCTAATTTGGCAGCTATTTCCATTCCCCTCTTATCGGTCTCCCGGCTTCCCCACCAAGTACTCCAAGCGTTTATGTCTCCACCGAGTATCACGTTCCCAGTTCCTAGGCCAGCTACGGCTTTCTCCATCGCGTCCAGGTAAGGATCGACTAATTTGTCCCCCTCCAGGTAGACGGACACCACTCCCATCTCCCAGGCCCCTGTCCTCAGTTTAGCTACTGCTACGTTTTCTGTTGTAAGGTCAGGGCACTGGGTTATGCCAATGGTGTCGTCGAATAGCACAATGGCTGCCTTTATCACTTTGTTCGTGTTTGGGCTTCTGCTACATTGTACTACTCTTGTCCCTGGATGGGTCTTCATTTCGCCGATACTTCCGATGTATGGTTCCTGGACTAGGGAAAAAGTTGTTTTGTTTTTTGTTGCCTCGATGATTAGTTCGGCCGTAGCTAGCTCGCTCCTCTGGAGGTTTGCCTGGATAACGTGATAACGGTGGTTGCTTGGGTTTGAGTCTCTATTCAGTCTGGAGCCCACCTCAACAATACGCCACAGTGGACCTTGCCAATGTCTCCCATTTCCTTCTTATGGGACAGTCTACACTGAACGCATTGTGATCTTTCCTCTCCATTTTTGCCTTAAGACAGTTCCTGCATGAGGGCATTTCGCCCGAAAGCCAATCTGCACATTCTGCCTTAAGGTGTGGGCCCCCGCAGTGACTACAAACATCTGTTGTGTCACTACATAAACGCTTGGTATGCCCGTACCCCAGGCACCGCGAGCACTGTATCAGAGGGGACTGATCCTCCACTCTTACCCTCTGGAGGTCAATATGGATTAACCCCACCTCCATTAGGTTGTTCCATAGCTGAGGTGACACTCTCACCACAATATGTGTTGTGTGTGGGTTTCTGGATTTTCTCCTATACTTGACCTCCATTCTGTTCTCATTTCCCTCTATATTTTTGAACAGCTGCTTGTTCTGTACCTTTATAGCTTTTATAATTTCTTCATCTGTGTTATACTGAAGCACGTCCTTCAGTATAACCAGTGGATCCTTATTCTTTATTTCGTCAACATTCAAGCTCTTACTGACGTTCTTTATCCTCTCCTTTACCCTATTTAATTCCTCCTGGGTGCAACATCCCACTATCACTTTCCTATCTCTTGCTTTTCTGATCCTATCTATTTTTATCCCTTCTTCCTTGGCATTTATTACTGTTCTTATCCGGTCCATCACTTGCTCACCCGTTTCCTTCTCATCCGTCGATGTTATCGCTACCGAGTGCATGGTCGTGTTGTGCGGTAGCTGTCTCCTCGGTGGTCCTGCCAGTATACTAGCATAAGTACCTTTCTCTTCCTTACTTTCATGCTTTTGTAACTCTTCTCTAAGTTTTTCCATTTCATTCTTGTTTTCTTCCAAAAGTTTGCCGTGTTCTTCGAGCTTCTTTATTATTTTATTATGTTCTTCTGGCTCTCTATTTTCATGGTTATCCACCGATTTGTCGTCTTTCTTCTCTTGTTCTTTTGTTTTCTTTTCTTTACCTATGTTTTTACCTGCCTCTGCTTCCTTTACCAACTGGTAGAGTCTATCAATCGCCTGGGTAACCTCAGTTTTTATGTCTGTCCTGAGGTTACGCGAGTTGTTCAGATGCAATTTTGCCTTGTTCAGGCAAGCCCTTGCTTCCGTCAGGCGATCTATGTATTTTGTTGTTTCCGTTTTTGGTGATTGTTCGGTAGACTCTACCAAGACTCTACGTGTTGCCCCTCTTGCTTCTTGTGGTTGTGATGTTGCAATTTTATGTTTCTGGCGCGTCACCAGGACTGCCTTTTTGGGTGAGGTTTGTTTTCCACTTTCCACGTCTGCTTTTGTTGCCTCCCACTCTCCGATGCTTCTCCTAACACTACTTACAGTTACCGTTTCATTTAGTTTGGGGGATGTTTCAGTCCCCTCTGTCCCTTTTGGAGAGCCTTGCATACTGTCCTCTGTCTTTTTGGAAGGAGTGCGGAAGCCAAACATTGTCAGGGGAACGCGTCCTCGTTACGTAATATAATTTATAAATTTTTACAAAATAAAATTTTGTAAAGTTATAAAATTAAAAAGAAAAGTTTGTAAAAGTTATATAAATTATACAGTTCGATACGGCTATAGTGAGTTCGTACAGTGGTATCTAAAATATCCGACTACTGCGATAGATTTTTAATTATTCAATGTAGAGTCTCTATGTAGAGTTGCTCTACTATCTCCAGATCTATTTAAATATATATAAACTGACACACTCTATTTCAAATGATTACCTTCCAGCAGAAAAAGTCAGTTGTATAAGATAAAATTTTCAAGAGAAATAAAGAGAAAATAAAATTGGATTAATATGCAGTTCGTCACAACCACCACGAACCTTAGTCAGGCCTCATAGAACACAAATAAATTAAAACAATGTAACACAAAATAAAATAAATTAAAAATAAATTTAAAAATAAATATAAAATATATGTAAATTTTTTTGTAGAGTCCCGACTCTACGTCGTTGTATATTAGCACCACTCTACAGGGTGGCTCTACGTCTATTTTTAAATTAAATTCTAAACCTATCCAAAATTGTAAATCCGTGTGGCTCTATGTAGAGTCTGTTGTAAGTATTAAGGTCAATAAATCAAGGAAACAATAATACAATATAAAAAATAAAAGTAAGAAAATTTAAATTAATACAAATAAAATAAAAAATTTTTTGCTCGACAAACTGTTGGCTCTACCAAGAGTCTGGTCTTATTTTCTACTTCTACTTATCTCTATTTCAATATTAAAAAAAAAAATTTTTAAATTATTTTTCCCTAAAAATTTTCCTGCTCTACGTAGAGTCGTCTCTATCTCTATCTAAAAACCAGAGTTATTCACCTTTGAAAGTCCCTCCTGAAATTCGGTATCTTCAAGGCGTGATATCTCCGGTGTTTCTGGTCCGATTTTGATGATCGAGGTGTCGGATGCATTGTCTCGATGTCCTCTTTGATGCTGCGATGTCAAAATCAGCCGCACGGCCTCCTATCAAAAAACACGTGTCCACGTGGTTTTTGTTTACCGAAAATATTTCGGCGCGCTTATGTCCAAAAATTCCGATGAATGGCTTAAATTGTTAAGCTCGTCGGGGCACTTATTTTTGCACTTTAAAAACCATATGCCTTCGATCTAGATCGAGCAGCGTTTCACTTTAAAGATTTTAAAGGTTAGAAAAATCAGTTTTTTGGCGATAACTTTTAAACTATAAAACTTTTAATACTTGTTTATTATATCACTTTGTTCGTCTCGACGAGACGCGTCTAATGGTGTATCACACTTTAAAATTGGTGCACTTTGACCCGACACTTTGAATTTTCGAGCACGGAGCAGTTTCTACACAAGACGGACCTAATAAGTGCAAAAAGAGCGAAAGAAATGAAGATTTGTAAAATTTTTAAAATTTTATGAAAATACGACTCTAAGAACACGAATTTTATGAAAATTTGTTATGAAACTGTGAAAATTTACTAAAAAAACTATAGAAAACTACGGAGGGTAATTAGATACACTATTTAAAAAGAAAATTTGAACGTAAAAGAGCAACTTTCAGTAAAGTTATAGATGAATTTATGTTTTATTTATGAATTTAATACTATAAAAGAAGGAAAAATGTGAAAATTTATTATATAACGGTGAAAAATTACTAAGAAAACTAAAGGGAAATATGGGGGGCAGTTAATTACACTATTTAAAGAAAATTTCAACGAAAAAGACCAATATTTAGCAAAGTTATTAGAAAAGTTGTAATTGGTTAGGTTAGGTTAGGTTAGGTTCCCCCCCGAACGGGTTCCCGCCTTGTCGTGGCGGGGGGGCTTAGTAGCCGTGGCTTGGTCAACCACGGTGAACGAAGAGGAACCCCTTGGCTGGCCCGAGGTGTAGGGCCGGCCCGAGGTGGCCACTCCGAGTGGGCTTGGGAAGCCCACTTCGGATGTGTGTCGGGGGGCTGTGGTGAGAGGGGAGTCCGCAACCCTCTACCGCTGCAGCCGAGGTGGAGTCGCGGAGGAAGAGGAGTGTTGGTATGGCGATGCGCCACTCGCCCTATCCTCCGCGACTCTGACGGGGCCGCACCGTTAATGATGCGGTGGTGGTGGGGCTGCGGGGGGAGAGGAGTGTCGGTATTGCGGGGCGCCGCTCTCCCTACCCTCCGCAGCCGAATCTTGGTTGGCGGCGGAGCCATAGACCGGATCCGCCGCTGGGGTCGGGAGGGCGGGCGCTATTGAGTGCACGATTTTCCGGGCCCCATGGCCTTCGCGCATCGGACACGGGGGCGTCCGTTGCGCATGTGAAGTTGGAGGCCGAGGAGGAGGGCGCGCCATGTGTTCTGGTGCGCCTTGCCTGGGAGGGAGATGGGGGAGGAGTGGTCCTCTCCCGAGGAGGGGCCGCCATGGGGCGGCCAGCGCAGGTGGGGCCGCGGAAGTTTGCGAAAGCGTTCCCGTGGCCCTGCCAATATGCGACAAGGTTGGAA